ATTATCTTATATATTAAATAATACTTCTAAGTATTATAAGTCCTTAATTATTATTTAATAATATATATAGATATATATATCTTATATATTAGTAGTATTTATATATTCCCTTATGGTTTAAATATATTATTCTTATAGCGAATTCTAGTATTAATTATTATATTTATTATAAAATTAAGAGTAATATTCCTCCTTCTATAAGATATTATTTATCTTAAGGTTTTATTAGTTCTAAATCTAGGCTATGACTAATTATTATTAGGCCTTTATTCTAGCGCTATAGTTAGGATCTTTATTATATCGCTTAATTTATCTTATTATTATAATAATCTTAGTATTAAGGTCTTTATTAGGTTTATTAATTAATTTAAATAATAATTTTTACCTTAACCTATCTATAAGATAGAATTATCTTACCTTTAGGGGTTTTATTATTATATATTATAGCTTTAGCTAGGGGTAATTATTATGCCTAAATTATTCCTTTATGAGGTATACTTAGCTATAGGGCATAATAATTTTCCCTAGTTTTAGACTAATATTATTATACTTAGCCCGGGTTATACCGAGTATCTTAGTCGTCTAAAGAGCTATCTATAATTTATTATTAGCTTATATAAATCTTATTTATTTTTTGCCTTCGGGGATTTATTATTATTATAGCTAATAATAATCTTCCTTAATATTATATTATTTTTTATAATAGATCTTCTTAATATAGTTTATCTTATAGTAATATTAATATTTAAGTTTATAATAATTATATTTTTTTTATTAAATTACTTTAAGTTTTATAAGTCTTATATAAGTTCTATAAGATATATCGCTTTATTAGTATTATCCTTAGTTAATATTAAACCGAGGTTTTTAATAATTTTCTTTATTATTATAAGGGTTTTAGAGTTTTTTCTAAGAGAATTATTAATTATTAATCTTAATTACTCGGCTAATATAATTAATAAGGTTATTAAGTTAATCTTCTTTATAGAGTTTAATTTATATTTCTTTTTTAAGTTTATTAAAAAAAAAAGATATTAAGGATTCTTAGTCTTAATTAAGCTTTAAGGCGAGCTAAAGGTATTTAATATTATATTTTAATATAAAGCGAGTTTATTAGAGTGCCTTAATTTTTTTTTTTACTTAGGCCTTTTTATTTATTATTCTAAAAGCTTATTAAAGTATAGCTTTAAAGGCTTTAAAGCTAGAATAGAGGTTTATAGTCTAAGGTAAGTATTTATTAAGTAATTTAATAAGGTATTCCTTTATAATAAGTTTAAATTAGGCTATAATATACTTAGTAAGATACTTAGCGGCATATTAGACCTTATTAAATATTATAATAAATTATATAAGGTAATAAAATATAAATATATATAATTATATAAGGAATATTAATAATTTATATATAATATTATTAAATTTCTCTAATTATTTTAATTTTAGGATTTCTTTAATATTTTTACCTTTTATAGTAATAATTACTATATTATTAATATTTTAAATATTCTTATAATATTATTAGTTTTAAGCTTATTAAGTAGCGGCTATATAATTAATAAATCCTTTAAGTTTTTTTATTTTAATAATTATAATAATAACTTAGGTATAAAATTACTTAATCTCTTTATTATTATTATTTATTTTTTTATTACTATTAAGGTTAGCTTAAATTAATATAATAAGGGTAAGTAAATAATTAATAAGTAAAACCTATTAATAATTATTACTAAGAATAACTTAAATAGCTATTATATTTAATATTATTTAAGGTAATATAAGTAATTTAATAAATAAGAGCTATTAATATATAATAAGAGGATATTTCTTAAGGGATAAACTAATTATATTAATTTATATTAATACTAGATTATATTATATAGCCTTAAAAGATAATATAAGTTATATCTAGTAATATACTTAAAGTATTAAGTATAACTAAGTTATATTAATAGCTAGGGTAATTACTATATAAGGGAGTATAATAGGCGCGTTTTATATACTTATAGTTAATCTTTAGACTAATATTCTCTAGGTTTAGTCTAGGGTAAGACTAATATTTCTAATATTTAGTCCTTAGATTAATGTAGGTGATATTCGGTCCCTTCGGTCCCTTGCTTAGTTAGAGTGTTTCTGCTATATTTCCCCGCCTGGCTTATGTCATGGCTGTGATAGATAGTAGATAGATTAGAATATAAGGCGGTTAAATAGGTCATTAGCTACGCGGGAGGTAAAGAAGCTAATTCCTAGAAGAGCCGCGACCTTTATTAGGTTAATAGAATTAGCGTCCCTAGCACTACGTAAGGCTAGCTAATTAACTCTCTAAATAACCTCCTAGCTATATAAAGTTATTATAGTTTCTCTAGTGATATAGGCTAGGTTCTAGATCTCTTATTAGGAGGCAATAGGCTAGTATCTCCGTCGGTTCTCTTCGTGGCAGGTCTGCCAGGTAAGGAGAGACAAAGTATAATATTCCGTAGCGTCTAGAGTATAACTTTGGATCTAGAATGCTTTATTTTATAAGGGTTAAGAGTCTTATAGACAAGGAAGGCAGAGCTTATATAGGAAACGCGCTAGTTATGGTAGTCTATGCATTGCTTAGTTTGCCTAGCAGATTACCTCTTTGCTATGAAGGCACTCTCTGGTCTCTCCTCCCCATAACGAGCACAAATAACGAAGAGTAAATCATTAGAGAGCTCTTCGGGGTTGAGACCGAAATCCATTACTCAATCAACGAGGCCATATTGTTGAGATCCGTGGTTTAACGGATCAATGACTATTCCGATCCATTGGTGGCTTGGATGTGGATGTCATCTTGTCAAGAGCTTCCGCTGGTTAGCGCTAGTCTTTTTCTCTTCTAATCAACTCAACATGCTCATTTCAACAGGGCTTGCTTTGCCGTTGTCTTTTTCGACGTATACTGTGCTCGGCCGTCCTACTGGTCTATAAGGTAGAGATGTCGAAAGTTTCGCTACTAAATGTAAAGAGAAGGATGACAAAAGCTTCAGGTCCACTCATAATATGTAAATTCTGAGCTAGAGCGTGAAAATCCTTCTTGCAAAACGTTGCCGGCGCGCCGCGACTACCATATTGGACTTCGGCCGGCATAATATTGCTTCTCGGCAATAGCGCCTAGAGCGAGAAGAAGCTCGATTATCTCGATATGGCTAGTATAAGAATACGAAGGAGACGTGAAAGCTGACTATGGAATAAAACCGACGTGCTAGTACGCTAACCAAATAGTGGCCGGAACGGGGATAGCACGGCTCTCCCTCGCTCTACCAATGATGGCTCTGAGCCACGACGGACCTCCGACCCTGATGGCGCCGACGATAGCGGTGATTTCTAGCGGGCCCACTGCCAGAATAACATTGTCGGCCTAGCCCATAGCTTTGCTTAGAAACTGCATGGTGACCCTTTCCCCGAAGAGGGCTAGCAGCCTAGATGCAATGTCCTGTCAGTCCATGGGTGGCACCGGGCCAACTGGGACACGTACGGAGCTAGGTCGGTCAACAGGTGGTTGGAGAAATCATCGGTGACGCATGGCACGAAGCAGGCTCCGATGAGGAGCTGCAAGTTGTTCGGCGGCCAGCATTTGGGTCTGATTAAGATATTGGTGCTTATATAGGTGTTTTCTTATTCTCTAATGCTCTCAGTTCGAGAGTAGCTATAGTTTAGACGTGCGATAATCACTCGACGTCTAGTCTTGTAACTTTGGAGTGCCTAATTTTAACCTAATATTGCCGCACCCTTAATCCTCAGTCGGCGGGCCTAACTCCTCAGGCAGTACCCGCGATTCTTAAAATTTAGCGCGTCTACGAGTGTGGGGCTACTCGTCGCATTTGGCTTATTATACGCGTGGGCCGAGATGGGTACGGTCTAGTGCGATTGACCGCCTAAGGAGAATATGGGCTGTGGAGCACGGACGAATGAGAAGAGAGAAACGAAGTACCGGCATAATGGCGGCAGCCACGTGAAGCAGCTGTCGACGGTTTCGGCACAAGAATCTATCATAACTCCTTGCTTGCGCGAAGACCTCCAACGCGTACTTGCCCCACTGCTAACGCACTATCTAAATCTTTCAAAATTTTAGTAGAGGGCTGTTATTATTATATTGCAGCTAAAAGCTAAGTGATCTGCTAACCGTAATTGGTTTAGATCCTTGCAAAGTACGCGTTGGAGGTCTTCGCGTAAGCAAGGAGAAAGGGAGCTGACAAGCAAGGTGGGGGACAATAGGCGGCAAGAAAAGTAGCAACGCATGAGGACATTTATGCATGCTGATCAGACAGAAACGAAGACGTGAATGGACCCCTCTCTGTGGAATGGAGTAATGAGGCCAGACGGCAAGTGGGGCTCAGGTCACAGCAGCGAGCCCGCGATTACTAAAGGCAAGAAGTAATAACTAAAGTATTTAAATATAGCTTTTATACCTTAGAGGAGTTAAGTAAGCTTTAAGAAGAGTTATGTATTATTATAAAGGCTTAGTCCTTAGTATCCCTTCAATTATCAAGGAGCTCCGGCAAGTACCCCGCCCTATACCAACCCCTATCAACAAGGAGGTACATAAGGGGAACCTATTGATAAGTCGGGCTTATCCTTGAACCTGTGTGTATTGCTTGTGTTGTTGTTCTTAAGGGAATTCCCTCTTTCCCTTTTGGGCCACGACGTGGCCTTCCTAATTGGGCCTAGTCTGCCGACTATCCGGAGATCACCCGGCCGGCGATTGAAGGCACGTGACCACCCTCAGAGCTATTGTACAGGGCCCAATCCAACAGATTAAGTCACATAACTTACTTATAGCTAAGCTTATAGCTAGGCTTGTAGCTAGTAAAGATGCACTATATATTACCTTATAATAAGGGTAACTTTTGTATATAAGAGAAATAATACATGGCCGATATACCTCTCGGAGTTTTATATATGTTTTATCATGAAAAGATTAGTCTAGCAAAGCAAAAGAGTGGGTGTTAAATGAGTGACTATATATGGTACTGTAAAGCATTTCAAGATGTGATGAAGCCTTCAACAATGCTATTAAACCTCGCAGGGTTTTCCCAAAACATAAAGTGGCTGCCCTTCTCCGCCTTGGTGAAAGTATATGCTCTACCGCCCGGTATTTGTGCTGCCACCCATGCGATACCCGGAGCTGCGTTGACACTGAGCTCGCCAGCAATAACCAAAGAGGGGACGTCGATCCGGGGGAGAACGTCACGCCAATCCCTGAATGCATGATCAATGACAAGGGTAGCAGCGTTCTTATCGCTGATCTTCCTGTTCTGAGCAAGAACCCATTCGAAATCGGCCTCGGAGATGGAATCGGTGAACATGCTTCTGACAAAGGGCGGCGTGGCGTCCGTCATGTTAAATGCGAGGTCATAGACTCCGATCGGAGTGAACAGTGCTGATACTTGCTTCACCTGGGCCTCGGTCCAGTGAGGGTCGGCCGTGAGGACGGAGGATTGGTCGACAAAGACAAAGTGGCTGATGCGGTCGCGAGCCTCGGGGTACTGGTCCCACCAAGCCCACGAGATGGAGGACCCCATAGAGTGAGCGACGATGCTGACGTCCTTGAGGTCGAGTTGGTTCAGCAGGTCGTTCAAGTCAGCAGCGAAACGGCTGATGCGGTATCCAAAGTCTGGCTTTTCAGACTCGCCATGGCCGCGCATGTCGTATGCTGTGACGCGGTATCCGGCGGAAGAGAAGTACTTGACTTGCTTCTTCCATTCTGCAGCAGTCTGTCGCCAGCCGGGGATGAAAAGGATCTGCGGACCGTTGAGCGGCCCGCTTTGCGTGTAGTTGAGATGGACTCCATCTTGGGTCTTGACCAGGCCGGTACACGACGTGTCCTTGAGCTTCAATGAAGCTGCATGAACCATACCAAGAAGGCCGGTAAGCAACGAAAGGGGCTTCATGGCGTTGGGAGATATTGATTCCTGCCAAGAGGCGTTGCAACAAAATTAGTGTCGAGAACGATGGCACATCACTGAGACTGGGGCGGCAACCACGGGGGAGGCATTATATAAGTCAAAACACATCTCGACGCCGAAATTGCCGCAATTAAGGACTCAGTGGCATCCCAATTGGCTCGTGCTGGACGATCTTCAGGGTCCCTGGCTTAGTAGAATGAGCCTCATGCGGGATTGATGTCAAAGTGTGCAGTAGGTCGTGGGAACCCGCCGTAAATTAGGCAGAGCGGTCAAGTCCGACGGTAGCCTAGATTGGTGTGATTCCCGCTCATACCAAGCCCCGTATTACCCCGATCATAATATCAGTATGAGCAGGGTGTACGAAAAATCTCACACAATAGTAGGTAAGCGCAAAGTCATGAATTATAATGACGAAAAGAATCGGTTAAAATATATAGTAATTTGTGTACCTTCACTCTTGTGTATTTTAATTGTGTTGATCCCCCGTTCAGTACCAGAGTGCAGCCTTATGTACACTCTTCCGTCCAACAACATGACAGCGCATTAGGGCCTCAACAATTAACTTTGGTTCTAGCAGGGATCGTACTCCTCCTCCCCAATCTGCTCAACCGGGATCAAGTTCCGCGGAAGAGTGTCGCTAGCGCCGGCATCGCCACCCGTGTTACCCGAGGCTTGAGCGGACAGAAATAAGCTGTTAGGCCTGGCGCTAGGGGTTGGAGTCATTTAGTTAGCGGGAGATGAATAAGACGGGATATTCGCCCCAATACTAGCAATTGCTGATCTGATTGATCAACAATATAATTGTGTTAAAGGCGGCTCGAGTCAGGGTCCTTGCACCGGTCTACTTTCCGCGGCGGAGGCGTTCGACGGAATGAGCCAACGTTTCATACATTGGTGATCAGCATGCTGAAGGTTGCACAATAAGGATGAACCTAACGGAAAGCTGGACATTGTCTCAGCCAAGTCAGTGGCAAGTTCCGTTCCACTCGTGAGGAAGCTTGCTGACTTGGACCCTGCTCCCCGGGTGGCCCCTGTCAAAAGCAAGTTCGCCAGGATCCGTCTGTACAAGAAATCTGCAAAAGCCAGTGCTCCCTCCCTGGTTTGCTCTGACCAATCTTTTCGACGCGGAACTGCAGCCTGCCCGAACTCTCACACCGACAAGATGGCAGCCGACCTTGACGTTTCCGACATCAAACTCATGACCAAGTCCTTTCGGGCGCGGACCATCACCGTCTTGGCTATCTGCTATCCTCTAGCGACTATAGCTGTCCTCCTGCGATTCCTCAGTCGACGGATATCAAAAAATTCCTTCTGGTGGGACGACTGGCTGGCGGCCACTGGACTGGTGTGTGTTTCCCGAGTACCTCATGCGCCATGGGCTGACGGACTGCTTTAGTTGGTGACTGGCGGGTTCTGTGCTTGTGTTATCGCTTGTATGCGTGCAGTCGCTCAATTATAGATGGCATACAACTTACTACTTCTTAGGCATCCCCCATGATGATATCCTCGACGGTAGGCGAAAGATTGATACGGCACTCATGATTTACAACACAAAGGGCGCTTATGTGGCAGAATTGTTTTACTACCTCAACCAGCTCTCTCTTAAGCTGTCCATAATGTGCTTCTACTGGAGGGTATTTTCTTCGTCCAACTACATGCGACGGTCGATCCAAGTCATCGGCTGCTTCATCCTTCTCTGGTTCATCGCATCGGTTAGACTTTTTTTTTTTTTTTGGACGCTGCATATGGTTCATGGTGCTGACATGCTGCATCTAGTTCATCGTTGCGATACTGCAATGCGTCCCCGTCGAAGCAGCTTGGGATCCTGTGGCGAAAGCTAAACCAGGAGTCAAGTGCGTCAACTTGAATGGCTTCTTTTTTGGGACGTCTGTTCCAAACATCGTCGCCGATTTGGTCCTGGTCCTGCTGCCTGTACCGCAGGTCTTGCAGCTTAACATCACCATGACGCAGAAAGTCTTCATCATATTCTTCTTCCTGCTGGGTGGATTGTAAACAATACCGTATCTTTTACCAGATAGTAAACTAACTGTATTTAGTGTTGTCATTACCTCGATTGTGCGCCTGCGCCTCCTGATCCTTGTCGACTTTATCACGTTTCCGATCAACTGGACGATGGACAATTCAGTTGTTTGGACAATAGTGGAAAACTGCTGCGGTGTTGTCAGCGTCTGCCTTGCATCTCTCCGGCCTATCATCAAGCTGTTGCCCTGGGCGAGCATCCAGTCAGCATTTGGACGGAGTTCTGGTAGAAGCAAAGGCCCTAACAGCGCAACTCGAACCAAGACTAGCGTCTTCAGCCGCGCACGACACCCATCGCAGTGGAGCCAGATTGACTCGAGTCATGAGGGGATGTCGCAGTCACTGGAAGCGAGAAAGGATACAACAGCCGATGTTGTCTCGATCGAGATGCAACCAACGGAGAATTCAAGTCAGGACGAACTCGCGGGGCCGTTGGGAAGATATGGATAGGCAAATCACGAGCCTAGTGGCAACATGAAGTTGCCTTCAGATTGAGGAAAACATACACTCAATCATCTTGCTCCTCTGTCCCTCCACCTCGGAGCAATTTCTCCTTGTTTCGTGCTTGGCAATGCTTCATCTTCTAACTATAGTTCTATTTCTCACTGTTTATTCAAACTCGACGCGTCTTCTTTTCTCAGTGATGGTGTCGGCTAGCCAGTTAATTGCACGTCCCTCGTTCTCTTTAACGTCCCACGTTCGCGGCGATTCGGTACCCGGGCCATGGATCGCGATAATGCTCCTCAGGTCAGCTCAAGTTAATCATAACGATGGGGCGGATGTACTCGATGCTTGGATTACGCGCTGGATACCGTCTATCTGTGGCACCTATGCAGTCCTCCCTGGGCCCCAATAAAACGGGGCGACAACCGAGACATTGCCTTCTCTGCTTCAGCGCATGTATTGTGCATTGAGTGAAAGACGTTCGTCCTAAGTCTCCGCTTCATCCTACCGAGACCTTATTTCCTCCATTTTTAAGCATTAACGTCTCCATTGCTCAGAGCTTTCGGAGATTGGTCCAGCGTGGTGTGGCTACATAGCTGGATAGCGTCTGAATAGCGCCGTATCGCTGCGGCGGACTTCTACCCCTTCTTGAAGAGTTGTGGGTCTTGTCGATAATCCTTTCCTAGTTGCCAGTTTAAAAGGCCTCGGCGATCATGCGAAGTTAGATAATTTGGCCACGATATTACTATGCGCATCATAACCTCCAGTGTCAACACTTTTGGTGGGGTACCTTATGAGAAAGTAGTTTCTGGACCTATACACTGCCATAATTACGCGTAACCCGAGTATCCCTAGCGCTGCCCATAGATCAAATGTAATCAAACAACTGCTAAATAAATTAATTAAATAACGTATATGCATAGCTTGCGTGACAAACTGTGACGGCAGTCACAGCTGTGGGCACCTTAGCCACTGCGCCACGGGGCAAAAGATTGGGCCATAATCGCTATTGTAGCAATTACAGAAGGTGCTTCAACTGCCTATAGGGCTTCAATCGCTGCTACGGGGGACCAAGCCGTAACACAAACAAGCATGCGTGACAGCGCACTGTACCGCAAAAAATAGCTTACCCTATACTACTTAGCTAGTATAAGAAAAATAGCTATAAGCCTAAAAAGAGTAGTTTTATAAACCTAACTTTCTAGGAAATTTAATAATAATTTTTTTATATTTTTAAAAAAATCCCTTTATAAGGATATAGCTAAGTACATAGTGCGAATTTCCTTTTTTATATACTACCTTATAAGGGATTTATTTAGATTTTTTTTAAAGATTATATAAGATAAGTTATTATATAATAGATATAATATTAAAATTATAGATATTTTAAGCTATATTTTAAATTTTAAGAAATTCCTTAATTTTATTCTTTAAGGTAAATATACATTCTGTCACGTATACTTGTTTGTCACGCAAGCTATGCATATTGTTACGGCTTGGTCCCCCGTAACAGCGCTGTAAGCCCTATAGGTAGTTGTTGCACCTTCTGTAATTGCTACAATAGCGATTATAGCACAATCTTTTGCCCCGTGGCGCAGTGGCTAAGGTGCCCACAGCTGTGACTGCCGTCACACATATACGTTAAGCTAAAATCATAATTCAAATTAAATACATATAAAATCCTGGATTTAAAATGCTATTTAATATATTTAATATATAATATAATAAGGAAGTCTAACTAGCTAGGCTAATAAGTATGTGTTTATAGCTTATCTAGAACCTAATAAGTAGTCTAGCTAATTAGAGTTATTACCTAGAGTGTCTGTTAGCAAGCTACCTTTTGTTATTACTTTAAAGCCTTAAATAAAAAGTAGTATCTTAATTTTCTTCCTACTCTATCTAATATAATTAGACCGTGCTTTTTAGGATTTATTTACTTCTCTTAATACGTGTCAGTCTAGACTAAGATGTTACGGCTTGGTTACCCGTAACAGCGCTATAAGCTCCTATGGGCAGTTGATGCACCGTCCCGCGTCGCCATCCCCGAGCCAAGGACGGCCTCATCGACCGTCCCGTCAACGACGTCCACACCGTATTCGATATCGTCCGCCGTAGCGCGCGCGTCTACCCCAACCACCGCGCCGTCGGCTCCCGGAAGCTCGTTAAGTTGTATAAGGAGAGGAGGAAGGTCCAGAAGGTCGTTGACGGCGAGATCCAGGAGCTCGAGAAGGAGTGGCAATTATTCGAGCTCTCAAAATTTTCGTACTTGACATTCAAGGAGTACGAGCAGCTTGCACTTCAGGTTGGCTATGGCTTGCGCAGATTAGGCCTGACATCGAAGCACAAGCTTCATCTCTTCGGTACCACAAGGTATGTTTCTCCTGTGGTCAACTCACGTCGGATCGCGCTCACAATCTCCTTAGCATAAGCTGGATTTCCATGTCCCACGGCTGCGCCTCCCAGTCTATCTCTATAGTCACCGCCTACGATACACTTGGCGAAAGCGGCCTTGAACACACCCTCCTCCAGACTAAGGCCGACGCTATGTACGTCGACCCTCACCTCCTCCAGATTGCCGCCCGCCCCCTTAAGAAGTCCAACGTCAAGACCATCATTGTCAACGAGGGCTGCATATTCGCGACTGGGGATGAGATCGAAGAGTTCAAGCACGCCCACGCCGAGTTCAAGGTTCTGACATTCGAGGAGCTGCGAAAGATGGGCGAGGACAACCCGGTCGATCCGGTGCCGGCCAAAGGCCCCAACCTCTACTGCATTATGTACACCTCCGGCTCTACCGGTCCTCCCAAGGGGGTCTGCATCACGCACGAGGCGCTCGTTGCTGGAGGTATATTCGCAATCCTATCCTTACACACTACTTGCCCCATGTACGGGCTTGACTGACTCCCTCGGCTATAGTTACCGGTCTCTATACCTGTGTTGAAGAATGCGTTAGCGACAAGGAGGACGTGCTTGCCTACCTGCCTTTAGCCCACGTCTTCGAGATGGCGCTTGAGAACCTCGTCTTGTTCATTGGCGGAACCCTCGGATACGGTAACCCCAGAACGCTCGCCGACTCCTCAGTGAAGAACTGCGCTGGTGATATGCGGGAGTTCAGGCCCACTGTCATGGTCGGGGTTCCTCAGATCTGGGAAACCGTCAAGAAGGGCGTCATAGCCAAGCTCGACGCCTCTAGCCCTGTCGTCAAGGCGCTCTTCTGGAGCGCCTTCAGCTTTAAGACCTTCATGTCTAAAAACAAGCTCCCCGGAGCTGGGATATTTGACAACATCGTCTTCAGCAAGGTTCGGGAACTGACTGGTGGCCGACTTCGATTCACCATGAACGGTGCTAGCGGCATCTCCGCCGGCACCAGGCACTTCCTGTCCATGGTCCTCGCCCCTATGCTGGCTGGTTATGGCCTCACTGAAAGTTGTGCCAACGGCGCCTTGGGTTGCCCACTTGAGTACTCACCCAATGCAATTGGCCCTGTCCCTGCTGCTATTGAAGTGAAATTGGTCTCCACTCCCGATATTGGATACTCGACGGACGCAGAGGTTCCTCAGGGTGAGATATGGCTTAAGGGTGTTCCGACCATGAAAGAGTACTATGACAACCCCGAGGAGACGAATATGGCCCTTACTCGCGATGGGTGGTTCAAGTCTGGTGATATCGGCGAGTTCGACGACAACGGCCATCTGCGAGTCATCGACCGTGTCAAGAATCTTGTCAAGACGCAGGGCGGTGAGTATATCGCCCTGGAGAAGCTCGAGTCTGTCTACCGAGGCACCCAAACCATAATAAACGTTATGGTACACGCCGACTCTCAACACTCCCGCCCCATCGCAGTCATCATGCCCAACGAGACCGTTCTCGTTGAGAAGATTAAGGGCCTAGGCGTAGATGAGCACAGCATGTACTACGACCCTAAGGTCCGCAGCCTCATCCTCAAGGATCTTCAGAGTACCGGCAAGCGCTCTGGCCTAGCTGGCATGGAAATTGTGTCCGGCGTCGTCATCACCGATGAGGAGTGGACCCCACCAAGCGTAAGCCTCAAACAACCCAGAGCTATCTAGGTGCAGCCATATTGACCGATACCCAGGGACTTGTCACTGCCACGCATAAGCTGAACCGGAAAGTCATTCGTAAGAAGTTCAAGAAGGAAATCGATGAGTGTCTGAAGAATTCGCCCTGAAGATGAGAGATGATGAAAAAAGATGGAGACGGGCAAAGGAGAGGAGAACAATGACACCGCTATTGTGATTTATATCCTAGCACGAATGCTTTATGTGCGTATTGTAGCTTTAGGTGTTCGCTCGACGAGGCATCTATTAGTAACAACATGGTTCGAAGCAACAGCCCAATGAAGGACTTACTCGCCCCATAGTCACACGTATAACGTGAGCAGAGTTGCATGATGGGGATCAAGATCCATGAACACCTTAGCCACAAAGATTCGCGGGATCAACGATCAGAGCATTTAGCGCTGGGCGATCAGGATGATCTAACGACGCTGTGTATCACATGAATACACTACGAAATACAGAACCTCTCTCCAAAATGTGAGATTTTGCATGGAGTATGGGGGATACCCTAAAACCAGAACTATCATGAGTAGCATCCGGCGTCTCTTCGCCTGCCTTCACTGCCAGTCTCGGCCTAGAACGTCTGGTCTCCTCGGGCAGTTCAGCAGCCGCCATCGACGACAACTCAACTGCGATGACACAAGACATATACAACAAGTTTTCCAGCGGTAAAAGGAAAGCCAACAACTTCGAGAAAGAAGATGCACGTCCATCAATGAGTCGCTGACCCCCCACTCGGGCGGCAACGCCCAGATGTTGAACGGACTCCTCGAAAGACACACCTCAGATCAAGTAACGGTGCAAGTGTGCCCCGCTGAAAAGCAGCCGCAACTAATAGCAATAGGCGCTACAATAAACATAGCCGTCGACACCTCAAAGACATCCTAAAGGAAAAAAAAAAATTCATCAACATCACCAACCTTCGGTCTTAGCGCCGGCCTCGCCAAAGTCAGGAACCCAGAGCGACCGACAGTGCGCAGGCCAGCCGGGGGCCGGGGCAGGTCAAGCGCACTTTCCGGGAGATATCAAAGTTTGACAACCATCGGACACCTGCGCAACACTGGCCATGGGCTAGATGACCTTGGTGACCTGGGCACCAGCTCAGACGATGCGTTGACCGGCCGAGTCGTTCATGTAGGTGACGTCCTTGTTCTCGAACTCGGCGCGCTTCCAGATCTCAACCTCGCAGCCACCGCGGAGGATACCCACACGCATGGCTGACAGGAGGTTGTGGGCGGCGTTAGAGTGGTTGTATACACCGCCGTTGAAGATGGCGGTGGCATCCTTACCAACAGCGGAAGAGATGAGGGCCTTGCCGCCGGGGTGGTCCTTGATGAAGTCGGCGACGTTGTGAATGACTCCAGCAATGGCAACGAGGGCCTTTCCGTTCTTGGAGTCGGCTACGAAGTCATCCCAGTGGACAACAGGGAGCTGCTCCAGGGGGATACCCCAGTCGAGGGTGGCACGCTTCTGGTCGAGCTTCTTCTGCAACTGCTGGACACGGCCCTTCTCGATCTCGTTCTGGCGGAACTGCTTCAGGTCGTAGGCAAGGCCGAGCTGCTTCCAGATCCAGATGGACCACTTCGTGGGGTCATATTGGTACCACTTGATGGCGTTTCGGTAGTCCGAAGGAAACTCGTGGTGGAAGTTGTGGTAGCCCTCACCTAGGGTGACGAGAGCGGTAATGACGTGGTCACGGGGTGAATTTCGGTCGTCGAAAGGCTGCTCACCGAGCCAGTGGGCGAGGGAGTTGACGCAGAACGTGGCTTGTTGGACGAAACAGGTTCGGAGGATACCGGCGTAGACGAAACCGCCGAGCCAGTCGCTCCAACCGAAACCAGCGACGATGGTAGGCAGAACGAGGGCCATGAAAATGACGCACTTGAAGTAGTTGCGATGCTGCCAGGCAACGATAGGGTCCTCGTTAAGGTCGGTGATATCGGCTCGACCCTGGCGCTTGGGGTTCTGTTTAAAGACCATCCACCCGACGTGGGAGTAGAGAAGACCTTTGCGGACGGAGTAGGGGTCCTTTTCGGTGTCGGTGTACCGGTGATGAGCACGGTGGCCGTAAGACCACCAGCGGATAGAGCCCTCAACAGCGCCAGCACCGACATCAGCCAGGTAGAACTTGAGGGGAGTAGTGGCCTTGTAGGAGGTGTGAGCCCAAAGACGATGGTAACCTACAAAATGGTGGGAAGGTCAGTATCAACAACTAGCGGAAGGAGAGGACATTTGATTGGAACACATTTGAACAACGGACTCACCAGCAGTTATTCCAAGGCCGGTGTTAAAGTAGAAGATGACGGCCCAGATGCCGGTATAGAGGTGGAGAGGGACCCAGTAGGCAGAGATAAAGCCGATGATGGGAATGATGATGATGAGAGTGGTGTTGAGCCAGTTAATGTGGAGGTGGATGTTGGGCCAAGTCATTGGAGTGTCGGCAATGTGAACCTTCTTGGGATTATACTTGGTATTGCTTCGGAGCGGCTCGTATTCGATGGTTCCGTCCGGGAAGGCCGCGGCCTCCTTGCTGGCCAAAGACGACGACGACATCTTGAGCGGTGGTCAAACAAGTGGTGGGACTGCTTGAGGGAGAGTCGACCACGACGAGGAACTAGCAGGACTCTTCACCCAATGCGAAAAACCACGATGAGGGTGGTATTCCGAAAGCGAAATGGGAGGTGGAAGCTAGGATATAGATAGTAAGGCGCTCTAGAGGGAGAGAAAGGATGGATCGGCAGGTCGTCGGTTTGTTGGGGTGGTGCCAAAAGGCTTCACGTCAGACCCGAATCCAGGCGAGTATGTGGGTTACAGGAGGCAATTTTCCCTTGGGAGTTGGGTTAGCAGTGCAACAGGAACGGGGAGGAGTCGAAAACAACACATCCTTGCTCGTGATGATGTTAAAGAATGAAGATGCGGGAGAAGGAAGACGAAAAGACAGGGACAGGAAGGAGAAGTTGAGAGCAAGGTGATGCGAGATGGATCGTCCACACACTGAGGATTCACATGTGAGTGAGTGAGTGAGTGATGTGTGTCGCTGTGTTATTCCTGTATTTTGCTTTCCAATCCCACTCTTTACCAACCTACCCTGGGGTTGGGACCGACGGAACACGTTACACCCAAAGACTCAACAAAGTGCACCTCGAAACTTTGTTGGACCCGCGCGCCGGCCGGGCCGCCGGGTTTGGGTGGGAAAAGCTCCCGCTGCTGCGACGAAAGGGTCAGAACTATAACACACAGCTTAGCAATAGGGGTGTACGTATCATGTGTAGGTGTGAATCGCATGTTTGAGGGTTGGCGATAAACCCGTCGGTCCCATATCTCGACGGCCAGTGCAGCGTCACTGCGCAAGAACTTGCAACGGAGTGGGTTAGCCACTTTTCTCTAGAACTTTGAAAGCAGTGCCATTTTGATTGTCATCATATGGGGCTAATATATATATTCAGTCGTGAACAAATGCCGAGGTCAAGTTCGGTCCCCCGAATGTAACACCTAACGTTACAAGATAAGGTACAATTATGTGACTAAAGTCTGCCCCCACCTGACGCGCCCCGCATCTCAACGCGTAATGACGCCGACTCACTCTCCTTCTTCTAACACACATAATTCATCACAACAATGTCTAATCCTCATAAATTCAGTACCATTCTGACCGCAAATCATCAGAGAGGCCAAGAATGGAGTCCCGTTGCGAAAGGCGCAATGATCGGTATACGAATGGCCGATATGTCTTAGCGCCAAGTCGCGAGCAAGATAGGCACCGACCATAAGGCTGTCAGGGCAATTAAGAAACGCTTTGCAGAGACAAGAAGCGTCGAAAGTAAACCCCGGTCTGGGCGGCCCTGGGCACTTAATGCATATAAAAGGCGATATATTATATGTCTTGTTCGCAAAGATCGGTTTATCTCATAGGCCGTATTATCTTCTGCAATCGATAATCAGGTATGCTTCCGGACACTTCGGCGCATCATTTCTTTCCATTACAAGCGCAAATAGAAAGCAATAGAGAGACTAAGAATAAACTCTAAACAAGCAAAGCAGAGGCGTTAATTTGTGCGTATTTGGTTACCTCAGATCTGTGACGATCGTGTATATTCCCAAGGGATAAACCGGTCGTGCTGGGTTTATATTGGCAGATAAGACTAGTCGCGCTGTGCTTGAATAAGGGGTGTCACATCTAGTGATATACTTAAAGGTATTAAGTATAACCAAGTTATATTAATAGCTGAGGTAGCTATTACATAGGAAAGTGCAATGAGTGTGTTCTATATACTTTGTGGTTAACCCTTGGACCGATGTTCTCTTTGTTCGGTCCAGGGTAGGACCGATGCATTCGACGTTCGGTCCCTGGACTGATGCGAGCGACATTCGGTCCTATGACGAGAGGATATTTCTAAGGGATAAACTAGTCATATAGGTTTATATTAGTACTAGATTATATTATATAGCCTTAAAGGTATAATATTATATCTAGTAATATACTTAAGGGTATTAAGTATAACTAAGTTATATTAATAGCTAAAATAATTATTATATAAGAAAATATAATAAATATATTTTATATACTTAGGTAATTAAGCCTTAGACTATTATATAAGGATATTAGTCTAGGGTAAGACCTTAGTTCTTAGCTATTAGTCTAGGGACTAATAAGAATAAAGTTTAGTCCTTTTAGTCCTATACTTAGTTAAATAATATTATTATATTTCCCCGCTTAGTATATATTATAGCTATAATATAAGGTCTCCCCTCTATTAGTTTTATCCTTAAGATTACTTTTTGCAACTAAGCGTTATAAATAAGTAACTTAGACCTATAAAAATTCCTTTTATATTAATATAATATTAAGCTAGGTTTTTAAATATATTATTTTTTTCTATAAACTTTCTAAGGCATAAGGTCTTTTAATATATATTAATACCTTTAGGTCTAAAATTATACTTTATATTTAATATTTTTATTAGGGTCTTTTTTATAAAATAATATCTAATTATTTTAATTATTATTTTTAATTATATAAATACTAAGGTTATATATAATAATATTAATATAGCTTCTTTCTATAAGTCCTTTTTTATATATATACCTTTTTATATTTTTAGCTAATATTATAATCGCGAAAAATATTTATAAATATAAAAAGCTTAAAAATAAAGAGGTAAAAGTAAAGGCTACTTTAGAAGTAATAATAACTAAATTAGCTTATATTTATTAATAAAAGTATCTTCTTAAAGCGCGAGGTAATAAAGCTTTTAATTATAGCTTTTATATTTTAAATAAATTAAGTAAGCTTTATAATAAATTATTTATTATAATAAAGGCCTATTCCTTAGGGGTAATTAACCTAATTAATTAAGATATAATTAATCTTAATAAGTTTATTTTTAATATTATTAATAGAAATTTTTTAGAAGGTATTATATATTAATAAGGTATTCTAGGGGTTCTTATATATTTTCTAAGTCTAAGTAATTTTTTTATTTAATAAAATATATTATTTTATTATTAATCTTATTTATATTAAGAATAGCTTTTATAATATATTATTTTAGTCTATTAACGTCTATATTAGGTTTATTATTTATTTTTATTTAAATAATATCTTATATTAATTTAAATAATAAAATATAAAAAATTAAATATAGCTTAACCTTAGGTAATAAGTTTAATTTATAATTATATTTTAAGATTTTTTTTTAATTTTATAAGGTTTAATATATTTATAATTAAATTTTTTATTTTATTATTTTATTTTAATATTTTTTATTATAAGGTAAATTATATTTCTCTTTAAGAAGGTTAATTCTTTAATCTTTTTCTTATTAGTATAAGTTATTATTTTATTTTTTATAAATTTAAGTTTTATTTATATTTCTTTATATAAGTTATATAATTAATTATTAATGAGGATTACCTTAAGGTTAATAATAATATTTTATAATTATTAATAAATATTTAGAATAAATCTAAAATTAATATATATTAATATAATTTTTATATTTTTATTTATAGTTATATTATAGGCTAATTAAGTAGCTAATAGCTTCTCGACTTAGTTAGTTTATTTATAATTAATATAATATTAAAGGTATTATTTTAATATCTAATTTATATATTTTATTTATATATTTATTTCTTTATAATATATAATAAAAAGTTTATAATT